GAGGGGGGCAGGTTCTGGTGCCACCCACGTACCACCACCTCAAAGCACCAAACCAGGTCACTTGTCACATCCGCGTGTTTTGGAAAGGTACAGGGAGACCAAAAAGAAGAATAAAAAAAATTTGCTTCCCTACCTACAGCCCAAGCGATTGCATAAAAAAAAAAAAAGCATCATTTTTTCACGTTTGCTGTCCTCGCGCCGTTGCCAGTCCCAGGCGGCGAGGACTGACTCTGTTCCTGGCACAACCGGCACGGCCCTGGGGCAAACCGATGCTCACCAGCACGGTAAGACTCGACCTGAGCCCCGCCACGTCCTTCGGGCGAGGAAGGACCAGGCCACGGGGCAGAAAGCACCAGAAACGTGCCAAGCGGGATGCCAGGCATCCCTCCGCTGCGCTGTACGAGTGTTCTCCTGCCCGCACGGGAAACCGCAAGCTCATCCCCTCCAAAAGGTCGTTCACTGATGAGAAGCGAGGCCCGGCTCCTGCACACAACCGTTCACAGCCAAAGCACAGAAGTTAACAGCCGGTTTCTCTCCCTCGTGCTCTCGGAAGACGACGTAGGGGCACGAGGAACCCAGCTGCAGCTGAAGGGCCCCATCTCATACTCGGAGGCTTTCCGCAACCGCCAACACTTCCAAGTGACCGCTGCAGGAATCCCCTAACGGGATTTACACCGCAGAAGTGCTTTTTGGTTTGTGCAGAGGACGGGGAAGGCACCAGCTGGCTGTGTGTCCAGGTACGCTCTTCACAGCAGCTCCCTCCATCTACCATCCGAGCCCTCTCGGCTTAAGGGGCGCGTACAGCGAGGACCTGGAAAACACCCTTACGCCACCAGCCCCTCTGCAGGGGTTGTTTTGTCGTCGTTTCTCCCCTGCCCAGAAGAAAAATTCTGCTTTCGCGATCAGCAGACTGCAGGGTCAGCCTCAAAATTGCATCCTCCAAACAGCGAGAACCAAAGCAAAGGGGAAAGGATAAAGCATTAATAGGGTCCTAGCGTTAATAAACAGCTAAAATCTTCCGAGTCCTTGGGGATCTAAGGAAGATTATCTCATGTAAGGACGAAACACAACAGATTGCCTTTGTGATAGTTCCCTCTTTGGAGAATTTCCTCTGATTTTGTGACGGATTAAGCTAATCAGTTTGAAAGCAAAGACGGATCTGCAACACGGATAAGCCACCTTACCAGCTTTCCCAGGAGGGCAGATCTTCAGGCAAGGAGCAGCGTCGTGAAGCCTGATCGCACCCACCGTGACAGAGGGGATGTCCCCAAAATTACCATCTTTTCCCCCAGAGCTGAGGAGAGGAGACACCTCACCCCCACTCAGGCATCACCTTACAACACGACAGACACAATCTGACACGGTTCGTTACACAAGCATGCCAACACGCAGCTTCCGAACCAGCTACGGGGCAACCTTTCCTCTGCGACGGTAAATGAAGGTACCTGAAATCCTGCTCCAGTTGTGGAGCGTACACTAAAGGGAAAAAAGAAAAAAAAAAAAGAAAAAGAAAGGGGGAAACACCATATTTAAACTAATCTAGCTCGGTCCGACCGCAACAGTGAGACTTTGCGCATTTGGCAGGCGCGTGGAAGCAGCGGGGCAGTAAGACGTTCCAGCAGCACCCCGGAACCTGGCAGGACACGTGTCCAGAGCCCGACACATCGGTGCTAGCACATTTTATTCCACTCCCACAGCAGGATACTGCAATACTGCATGGAGACACCCGCTTTAGCCTTAAACAGATTCCAGGAGCAGACAGCCCGCGTTCACCAAGCTGCGCACCCCGGCTTTGTCTGTCTTACTGAGAAGTCTGGCGAGTTACCCCAAAGAGAGATCTCCTCCTTCGGTATTGCCGGGATTGTGCTTGTTCACCTCCCTGTTGAACGACATTCCCGTTTCCCCCCTTCGGGGTTTTGTGACAAGCACTTAAGAGGCTTTTGGGCTCTGATACTCATCCTGGCTAGAGTCTTCTTCCTCACAGATTGTCAAGGCAGCTAAAAACCACACTGAAACGTCGAACTTTTCAATTAAAAAAAAATAATATTCATTCTATTTCATTACCAAGTAGAGTTTCATTCCAGTAAGGCTCTTATATAAGTTACATATTTATTTTAATAAAAAGAAATAAATACTTATCTTTTCACATTAGATGTCTCCCTAGAGACAGAAAAAAAAAAACCAACCCACAAACGCAAACAAACAACCCCAAAACAACAAAGCAACCCCAGCTACAGGGGCTTCACTATGGATTTGTTACAAATCAAAAACCAATGGTAACCGCTCGCTTTCTATGGACATCACAAATCCAGTTTTAGGAATCAAGTAGATGGTCGATATTCCAGAGACAGAAGAAAACTCTCTTTGAGGAAACAGTAGCTAAGCACGTTGTCCTTGGGAAGGCAGCTTCAGCTAACACGACTTTTACCACCACCGCAGATGAGATTCCCATTTGTCCATGGCACGGCCACGTGTGCTCCGAGGTACGAGCGTCCGTCTCGGTGACAGAGGTTCACAGCATTTGTTCTTAACTGCTCCCTTGGCAAGGTCACGGCGACCTTTCCGCCTTGCGCTCAAGGTGCGTTAGCTAATTTCAAAGAGAGTTACTGTCTCCAAAATCAGGGGTGGGGGGTGGGGAATAAAATAAAATTAACCGCTACTTTATAGTCGAAAGAGAAATTCGTGTGCCTGCTGCCTTTTCAAATAAGATAGTAGAAAAGTAACTAAATAAAGAGTTAAGTCATCTCAAGGTGATCACAGTGTTGCTCTAATAGTGCATTTCTCACAGCAGCTGCTGATGGATTATTTCCCACACCATCCTCCTGCGGAAGTAAGGCATGTGATTCTGAAAAGAAAAGAAAAATACATTGAATACCCAGTCATATATAGAAAGAGGCAGAAAATATGCATAAACACCCAGTTAATTCTTTAACCTGAAGTTCCTTTTAAGAACTGTCAACAGTTGCCACTTGGGTACAACGTGGGTTTTACCCACACAGCTCCTAAGAGGGTGACACCACAACCCAACAAAGCCAGATTTACTCGACCACACAACAGATGACAAGCGCATTAATAAAAAGACCACCGTGTTGGAAAAATAACCAATGTCTTAACCGGTCAAGGTGTAAAACCCATTTCTCCAAAAGATACAAAGGTCAGGTATCACAGACCCACTGGCTGCACTATCTCGCCCAAGAAGAATCTCAGTGATTCAACTGGGAATCAAGGCTGGGGAATACAGCTCTGCTCTGCTGAGGCCACTTTGACGTTCCAACCCCAGCAAACTCTGTACCAAAACCGAAGAGAGGTACAAAACCTCAGGCCCTGCCCCAGACACAATTTACAGCTGCTGCGTAACTTCCCCGGTTCTTCTGTCTGCGCGAAAAAGTCCGGAGCTGTTTCTGACCTTCGCTCACCTGTGTAAAGGTTATCGGCTTGTCTCTGGAGATATAATCCGCGTATTTGCAAATAAAAACCCCGCAGTCGCTTCCATTCAATTGCTGAGGGATTTCCTAATGAATGCAAAGAAAATGGGAGAATTTTCCTCTACCTTAAAAGGAAAGCAGTTTGGCAGTAGCACACGTTACCCATACCAACGCCACACTAACCAGACACTCGTGAACTTACTTGCATAATCCATTTACCGCTCTCGAACACAAGGAACAGACCCAATCAACTCCGCATTGTCCCTCCCCTCTGCTCCCTTTACTCTTTGGATCTTACAATCCAAATTCTTGGCAGGCTAATCAGGGATAGCAGCCTTCCCCCCTGCAAGGTGTCTTGAGGTTGGCACAGCATCGCGTTTCTTAAATCGAGTCTTTAGATACTGCGTTTTACTATTAACTCGTTAGAGAAACATCAGCTCGACCCTTTGCTTTGTCACATGCCAGGATTTGTGCTCCAAACAAGAAGCCTCACAGTCTCCTACACCACCTCAACAGATTTTTAAATTTGACTTGCGAAATAGGGGCAAAGCCAGATTCACCTTCATGTGGCAGACTAATAAGAACAAAAAAGCAAGCATTCAGCCAGCAAGGAGAGGCACGGCTTAAAGATTTCATCCCAGCATGGTTTCCTGGTCCACTTGCAGCCTGATATGGTACTGCAAGAACACGAGATGCTTATGGCCGTTCTCTAAAGGCCTGGACTTCTTAGAAAGCGTTAAGAGCTTTGTGATGAGGAGTTATAATTCACATTTCAACTCCAAGTAGTGCTCACATACATGTGACTTCATGCTGTGAAGAGTCCACTCTGAAAAAGTCAGGTCCAGATTTCTTTTTTCCCGGCTTTCTTCTTGCAAGTATTGGCTGTTTAAAACAGAACAAGAATCACTTTTCATCTCCGTAATTTAGGTAAATAAAAAAAAAAAAAAAAAGAGCTGCTGAAGGATCGCAGGAAGATGAATGGCAGGACAGTAAAATGTCAGAGGGTCCTCCCAGCAGCTGATTTAAGGCATTTGGAGGAAAAATCCAAATCTTTAAATTTACACATGCAGTGAGAGGCTGCGAGCTAATGGTCAGGAATGAGACCAACAATTCCAACAAAGACTTCCAGAGAAGCGTAAGCTCATTGCTTAGTAGAGGTCCAAAAATTTCAAAGGTTGGTCTGCATGATCCCAGAGGTCTCCTCCAACCTAACTGATTCTGTGATTCTATAAAAATCCCAACTCACACGTTATCAGAGGAGGAACAGACAAACCAAGCAAAGAACCATAACGCCATAATTCCACCGTGCGCGTCTTAACCCCACATACTGGCTGTGCCTCCAGAAGAACAAATACAAAAGCTTTTGGGCCAATACCTCTGCCTGAGGAAGTTCCGAGGCCACCAGCTGCTGGAAGAATACTCTTGAGGAAAAAAATATTCTACGCCGACCTGTCCTTATACCCTTTCCCAGGCGTGTGCTGTTAACTGTTCAGGAGAGCACTGGACTAAAACGACACTCAGTTTGGCTCTGGGGGGCTGCTCTCCTGCTCTCGCTGTACAAAAAACTGTTGGATTAAGGGTTTTTACTACTTCTGCATCAATGGCAAGGACATCTAAGGATGCTGGCTTGCACAAGATGAAAACCTGTACCCGTTACGCTTCAGATAGATGCCACGCCAGCTGATACGTCTGGAAAAGCTCGCTACAAGACATCTGTCTTGAACCAGAATGTCAGAAATACAACCAACGCACAGGAAGGACATGAGGGTAGCCGGCTGGGGTAAGCTGGAGGGAAACAGGGTGGCTTTGTTTAAAAAGCTGAACAGAAGAGGTATAGCCAAACTGAGAAGGAGCGTGTTACATAGCTCACTACAGTAGAAAGGACGATCATTACAAGTTGGGTGGGGAAAAAAGGTCTCGATACAAGAAAAGGATAAAAGAGTTAAGCAATAAAGAGTACAAGTAGGTGTAGCTGACAGGACTGTATATACCCCAGGACACTAACATTACCGGGTTGCAATCTGGAAGTTCTTAAAGAAAGGGGAGTTAAATAAAAAGCTTTTGGAAGACTGTAATCCTTTTACAGTCAGGTTGGTATTTTGAAACACTTCCCTGAAATTCTTCCCTCTCATCAATAGCCCAGTTTTACTAATTACTAACAAAGTCAGTACGTGTGTGCCACGGGGCCATCACCTATTTGACAGTGATGCTTCGTCTGGGCACGTAGCGGGAAGGTGGCAGAATCCAGGCATCCAAGGCCCTGGGTGGAGGGGACGATGCGGGACTAGACAAATAGCCAATGTCACACAACTCCCCGCAAGCGAATCAAAGATTTCTGTTTCGTATCTACAAGAAACGTGAGGACTTGCAGTCGTAAGGACAAAATCCGAAACCCTTCTCATAATTCACAACATAAAAGCATTGACAAAGCAGTTACTTACAACAAAGCTTCACAAATCGCTTCCCCTTTTTGTGCCGTTGAGTCAAAGTATTTGATGGTCTTCTTTCTGACATCTATGACCTGTTAATTAAAAGGCGACTGTTAGACAAAGCACAACCCTGTGCTGCACACACCCCAAAACCTAAATGACTTTTCTTCCTTTTTTTCTCCCCATCCAATTCTAAATAAAAAGCCAGTTTGACTCACCACTAGTGCCCAGTGCACTCTCAAGTGAATGGGCACTAAGATAAGGTCCCGCTTGAAGAGATCCACGCCGGTGGTCCATCTTCTTACTGCTTTGTAGCCCCCAGAAATTAGTTTGGGATAAAAAAAAGTACTAAAAGCATGGACTGATGGATATCCTTCCTTCTTATTTCTTTCCACCAGAAGATTCATGTAGAAGTTAATGACCTGTGCCATAAAGAGTAAACGTGAGATGTAAAAGAAGACACTACCTTGCCAAATGAAAGATACAGCAACAGGTCTTTTGCCGGCCACCCTTAAGTACGCAGCTGAGAGAACTCCAGTCTCAGCTGTCAGCTTTTGTTCTGAGAATTTTGCACTTGGTTACTTCTGCGGTTTGATAAAAACACCTGCCACCCACTCCAATAAGCTAGACTAACTCCTGGAAGCTGCACAATACGAGCAGTAAAGGAACTTCCAGAAACACTACACCCTTAAGTACCTAAAATAAGAACTGTACAGGTATTTCTAGGCTCTGCGGTGGAGGTCATCAAAGAACTTCAAAAAGACTTCTGTAGACAGTGAAGGGGTATTTTCAAATAAATGCTGAATTAGAATATCACTGTGCTGCAGCTAGTTTTACCTCATCATTTAGCCAGCGAAGGTTCCTTAGAGTGTTGATGTCCTGACGAGTAATCTTCAGTTTGAAGGCACTGCTCATGATCTCATCTGGCTCACCTTTGCCAAGTGCGGCAATGACCTCTCTCTCCATGGCCTGAAAGGAACAATTAAATGGGAAAGGACTTGTGAAAAAAGAGTACTGAGCACACTAACCAGTTGTGGGCAGCTTTCAACTGAAACTAGACCTGTAAATTAAGCTCAGGTGACAGCAACTGGCTTTGCCGTTTTTTTGCTAAGTCAGCAATAGCACTTTCTTTGTTTGGGCACCCCAACTATTAACTTTAAAGCCCAGGTTTGCTTCAATTTCTTTTCACAAAGGAAGCCGATATAAAACACGTGGACTAGCAAATGCACTAAAGCAGCTGAAAAATGCACAGAAGTACAGCAAACAGCTTTCCCACGCGACACTGCAGCCCTCGCAAGACTCGGGTTTAAGCCAACCGCAGTAGGCATTCTCCATACCAAGGCAGCTAAGTCAGGAGCCTGAAAGAATTTGAAGGGAGGGGACTTCAAAGGGAACTGAAGTAACAGCAAAGGGGGAAACTGCGGCAGCTACACTGGAATCAGGCAATCCAGGTTGCACATGCAACTGGCTGTAACATGGATGCTTCCATCTAAGTCTGCTTAAGGAATGGAAATCACCCTCTAGGTCTGTTAGTATACAATACTCTGATCTGCAATAGCATCTCCTTCTTGGTTGCATTTGGGCTAGCAAAATAAGAAAGCCACCTGGTTGTGTTTGTACTGAGCATCACTCTGCGGACTTTGTAAACTCTGGATTTGCTAGCCCTTTCCAAGTCAACCCTCAATGAGATCAGCATGACTGCAACTCCGAAGAACAAAAGCAGCCAAAAATTCATACAAGCAGAGGAACCTGAACTCCCACTCCCTGTTGAATAGAGTAAGTTAACTCCTGTGACCAGTCTTACATGCAGTGCAACCAAGCCCAGTGCGCACACATGGCTCTGCAAGATCCTGAGGACATACACAAGATGCTCAGGTCCCCCACAAGCAATGCAACACCATGGACCAGTAAACATTTATTTTTCAGGTTCTATCACCACGGTAGGACACGTTAAGAGGCAGAGCCACTATAACTGTACGAATCAGGTTAGCACTGCTCTGGGAGACTGTTGTTAAACCTGAACTAATTTGTGTCCTGATAGCAGAAGCCCCACAAACCCTTAGGTCAGCGTAACTGAAGGAGTGTGTGGAGCACATTAAATCCTTAAAACCAGCTTTAGGGCTGACTCTTGCACTGTGAAGTCACAGCTGCAGACCCTCGGTAACAGGTTAAATGCACGTTCTTCAGATTTCAAAAAGCCTTAATAACCACTTATAATAAACAGTGTTCCTTGTGGCTGTTTTGTCTAACAGTCTGTCAGCTATGGTACCTCTGTGAGTGGAGAAAAGTGTTCTACTGTTTTTTCTGAGCTTGGGAATTTCTTTTCTTCCACACCAAGGGCAGACGACTTTCTGGACAGAACAGCTCCCAGACGTAATTGGAATAACATCTCTTCTGCAGTTTCAGCTCCATACTGTCTCTGTTAGACAAAAGGACATTAAGCTAGCAAGCAAGCACAGATTTGTTTGCTAGGGGACAATGCAGAAAATCTTGCTCCCGTATAAAACTGGAAGGGCTTTTGTACACACATCAAACCAGCAAACTCCAAAGTTACTTTTTATCGGTGACTGCATTTCAACTGTGCACCCGTGTAATGCTGCACTCAAAACTGAATGGAGGCAAGAGAGGCAGAAAGTTCGTTTGGCTTGGACTAGCATTAAGAACCCCAGCAAAGCCTCCACATGTAGGTATCAAGCTGAGATTGAGATTAGTATTTCCGATTTCCATGATTAAAATTTTATTTTTGATCTCAATCCTGACCGGAGATGAAAGTCAAAGAGATGTTACTTCCTATCTCAGAAAACAAGACAAGATCAAAGATTACCACAGTCCAGCTTTGCAGGTCAACCAAGTCTGTGCACTAACGATTTTGAAGCTATACCGAACACATTAAAGGGGAAGAATAAAAATAGTATAATGTAGTGTGCTGGTAATAGTTCAGAAATAAAATTAATGGCAGCAGGAAACCCTTTGTGATAGCACTACTCACCAAATAACACTCCCACTTTCCTTGGGAAAAGCAACCGGGACAAATACATTACCTACTCAACAATATACCTAGGTGAGGAGTGCAAAAATCTCTGATCACAAAGAGCTATATTTGCCTACAAAGTGAAATAATAAACAACACAAGCTTACCCCTGCAATGGCTTGTTTCACTGGTCTTCCCTGTTCATGAGAGTTTTCTGCTGGTGTGCAGTACCTGCGAGGAGAGGTTTTTTGGAAAGAGAGAAAAGTGAGCTCTATATCTGTACCGTCCCACATAATTCTCAAGAATTCACCTTCTGAAATGCTTTTTCAAGGCTGATTCTGACTAGAGCCTCAATTGCACACATGAACATGTGACAACATCGTCTCAACTTCCAGCACCATTCTCTCATAGCAGCAAGACTGGGATAGAAAGAAGAGCTGGGAGCTTCACAAACTTTCTTCCATCTACATGTGCAAGACTCCTTTTGTTTCTCTTTATCAGTTTCATTATTTGGAAAACAGGGAAGCAACCAGCACTTCCTCTATCAAGTGCTTTGTGATCTACTGGCGATAAATACTGCACGCTAGGTGTTACACTGCAAGGTATAACACGAACATCTGCAACTATACTTGCATCCAAATATAGTTAGCTTACGGAAACTAAGACCAGAACACTGAATTAAAAATGGGACAGCTACAGGATGTTTACTTGCCTTCTATAGGCTAGTCAAGAGAGTGACTATCCCCATTTGGAGAGGATTATCATTAAAACCACGCAGACTCTGAAGAGCAAACAAATACACAGACATTACAGTTGTCCATATATATGTCCCTTCTTCAAAAACAAGAACTTGCATTGTCACCAAAGATCCCCCCTTTTCAGGAGGGTGACCTACAACAGACGCTCATGGTATCCTACACTCATTGTGCTTTAAAGGCTTTCAGTCCAGCATGGTAAGAGTAGATACCACAGGCCTTGTCAAATGACCTCAGTTAGTAGCTAAATCTGCAAAATAAAACCCAAGGAAAAGTGCCTTTTACTTGAACTCATCATACTCTATCAGCGATTTTATTTCCTTCTCTCCCCTCGAGCTTAGAGGAACCATCGACAATTTAAGCACAGGAACAGCGCCGCACGGCTAAATATAGCGCTAGTGTTTAAAGCGGGGAGAAGAATAGGGACAGAATGAGCTCAAAACCAGGACTGCCACAACTGAATCTCTCTCTGCTCCCATCTACGCTTTCTCCTCTCTCATTTAAGGGCAGGTCACTGCAGAAAGATGCGTGCATCAGACTGCCATACAAAAATCTCTTCCTGTAGCTGCACTTACCACAACCAAAAGCCCATTTCCCTCAACACCACAGAGCCATCTGAACTCACAGTCCTGCCTTGCAATACAAATGAGTCCACTGGTCTCTCAAACAGGCAGAGAACCCAACTGCATGCTTCCTTTTCGGTCACATACTCAAACCCAAGGCATCCTGGAAGTCACAAACTGTCTCAGTCCCACCAGGCTTTACAAGCTTTCTAATCCGTATGCTTAGGATCCTGGTTTCAAAGTGAAAGGAACTTAAATGTCAGCTTATTAATGGTTTGGCAGAAAGACACTCACAAGCAAACACAGATTCTGCAAATCCAAGGACGCCTTGGTACGGCCACCACTCTTCACCCTCCCTGGCTTTCTTCCCACAGCAAAGGGCCCAGAAAACACCACACCAGCACCACCCTGTTTGTCACACAGCACGACTCTAGCATGGGAGCTGTATTTGAGATGCAACTGGTTTGCGAGCTATTCCAGAGCCACAAGCTAGCTACTCCTTTTCCACAGCACTGAGATGATAAATACGATTTGTTTTCCTCTGGGCACTACTGGACATAGAAAGAGACACGCACACAGAGCCAAAAGAAACAAGAACCATAATTAAAAGCAACTCTACCTGGCCACATCACTTCTCCGAGACCATTGTGGGCTGTGAACATCCGCACATTTGATATCTGCACAGAAAAGCAGTAATATGAAAACAAGAAGTCAACTTTCCATTACCATCAGATGTATGTAGCTCGGTTTCTGGGTGATAATACACAAAAACCCCCAACTTCTAATGACAACTGTATGGTTAGGAAGTTCAAACTCTTGCAAACAATTTGAACTTTGAATATCATGTGCAAGTGTACGAGAGCTGAAGCAGGGCATTTACTACGTTTTAAATCCTAGATTGCACACTTGGCAAAACAAGTGATTTTTGCAAAACCAGATGCTCCTCCAGGCTCAGAAGAACAGCTTGTCATTCTCCATGACAAAACAAGCTTTCCCCAAATTCTAGCACCTGCTCAGAAATAATTTCAAAACCCATATGATTACATAATAAAGTCACATAGAAATATTGATGAAAAATTATTTAAGTAATAAACAGTGAAAAAAAAAAAGACTGGGACAATATTAAAAGTATACACGTGAACACATGGTATTGGAACACACTGCTGAGTAACACATAACCACAACTCTGAGTTAAGTAAGGGGTATCTAAGGGCGCACAGTAATGTATCACCCACTCCGAGTACAAACACCCGGGTACTATGATGTTCTCCTGTGTAGCAGAGTTATGTCTGCAGCTACAAACATCACTGGTACAGTAATGTCTCAAGTACAGTTTTAAACGAATTTTTTCACTTCAACAAAAATCTGGTAAATCCAGTTTAGCCAGTAACTAGCTACGGTTTAGCTAGTTATTTCCCCCCCACCCCCCTTTCTTTCCAGAGACAGCTCATTTCATTCTAAGAGCTAACATAAGCTATACTAGCATAAACACGCTGGCTGATTTAAGATTTCCTTATAAATAGACACAGATTAATGATACACTAGCACTGACAAATGCTTTTAGCATAACTTATACCTTTGAGACTTAAGGAAATGCCCCATTTTGATTTGAAGTCTACCTGCAAAGTGGAACAAATATGAATCATGGGGATACTCACCGGTCCTTAGTGTCACACATGGATAGACATCTCCGTATTTTTGTTCTTCCAAGTGACTCTCAGTCGTTGCTGGTTCCTTGGAGAAGGCTTGAACACTTCGGTGCAGCAAAAAACACCAGAGAAGAATCACAATTTTTATACGTATGGTACTGGTTATCAATATGTTACGCATACCAATTCACTAGAAAGGACACAGCTAATTAGTACACAACTGTGTACATCAGAGTTGGAAGCCATAGCTAAAGTAACAGAAATATGTAAAGTAAAAATAGGCTGTTTAATCCCTTAATAGAAACATCCTCTCTCCTGCACTGATTTCATGACAAAATGCAAAGGGCATTTCCACGAGGAGGCAGTTTACATTCAGAAGCCTGGGTACTTCTTCAACTCGGGCATACTGAAGATACAGGAGTCAAATTTTCTGTTTCCAGAATTTCACAAGAGTCTAATCAATCATGAAATTTGATTCCTTTACCTTTTCACCAGCAAGTCAGTGGCCTCTTTAGTTTTTTCTTTTAAAAGTATTCTTTGCACATGCTACAAATATCCAGATTAACCTGAGGAGACCACTTTATTTTAGGGGACAAGACAGCATTCATTACAACCATCCTTGACCAACTCTTTTTAATCTATTTATTAAAGATTATGCTGACACTGAGAATGCAGTGTCCACAACATACATACTTCTGGGACATTTTACTTCAGATCTGCTCTACTCTGACCTCAGGGACTACATGCTCATTAGCAGTTGGAGTGCATTAGATGCCTTCCACAGAACACTCTCTGGTTTAGCTTCATCTGAAAGGAATCCATTTCACATGTTCCAGGTCTGCTCTGAGACATGAGCCAAACCACAATAATCAATGACTAGGAGATTAGATGCTGCAAGCAGAGTCCTGACTCACCCTAAAATGCTACTGGCAGTGCACCTAAAATTACATGAGATACTATTTTTCCATATCATTTTCATGCACCAGAACGTTTAAACACGACATGTTGTTCTGAAGTCGTGTGTTTACATGTTTTCTAGTTGTGAACCACCGAGCGGAGACTGGGATTTTTCTAAGCCTTGGTAACAACCCATGTTTCCCAGCATTTAAAGGGCACTGCACGAAAGCATGCCATTTTCTACCGTCTTACTGTGTAGAAAGGCACGCTGGAACTTCAGCACTATCTTGGCATCACTATTTTACAAGAATTAGGCCCCTTCTGTACAGCTTTGAAGTGTAATTATTCCACTAAGGTAACAGCTATTTTTGTGTATTTTAGTTGTGTCGTTAACTTCGTGCAACCTCTTAACACAGTTATATCAAACATACTCATCACTGGAATTACACACAAGTTCCCCTTTGCAGGTTGCTTTAGGAACTGGAATTCTACACACAAGTGAGATTTTGTCAACTTAGTGTACTGCAAAGAGAAAATTTCCTGTAATTTGTGCGAGAAGGACTGGGGGAGGTGGAAAGGAACAGAAAAAAAATCTGGCATTCCCTGTGTTTACCTTAAGTTTCACATTCTCAGATAAAACAGGATTCCTGACCAAGGGAAAACTCATCAATTGCAAACAAGAGGAAGATAAAGTGTGGTTGGTTTTTTTTTTTTGAACAGTGCTACAGAATGACCAGTGTTGTGGATTTTTTACACTAGAAGTTATACTGCCAGCACTAGAACTAGATACCACCTCTCTTAACACAGAGACAAGAAAGGAGTATCAGAAGGAAAACCACATCCATATCAACAAAGGAATCTTCACCTTTAGAATATACATTCAGAGAACATTCATACTTCATTGCAAGGAGCTGAAGGGGGATGTTGGTCTTTTAAAAACTAGTTTGCCCCAACATCTGCCCTGGGACACTGTCCAGAACCCTTAGAGCAGGAAAGAGTAATTCCCCTCCATTTCCGTGTACAACAGCAGTAAGTTAGTACCAAAAACGTAATGGTTATTTTTCCTATAATTACTTGTGGTAGCTTGTCGGCTGTGGACTACGGCAGCTTTTAGGATATTTTTCCTTTACTAGTTCCAAGAGCTGTTTGTATTTCTCCTTTTCTCTGCGCTGAACATCCTAGCAGAAAGGGGGGACAAAACAAACAGATTAGAACCACTGCATATGAAGCAAATGTTTGTAATCTGGATATAATGCAGATGGCACGGGCTGTTCCCAAAATACTGGCGCATTATTCAAGTTTACTTTAGCAGGAATTCCCACACCTTCATTTTGTGTTAGCCCTGCTCTAGGGATTTGTGTCCAACTATAAACCTCAAAGTTTCTTCTGCAACTGTTTCCTCAAATGGAGGCCTCTTCTCTTCAGCTGTGGTCTGCACCTCTTGCTTAATAATTCAGGTTAATATGCATTCCTGTCAATATACATAATGATTGGGTGCTATGAGTCCCCAGGGTATTTTAATCGTACTCCACAGCCTGCCATGGCCTGCTTCTCTAGTACTTCGGTGTTATGTTCTTCTCCCAGGTAAGCTAGGTTTATCAGGAATTTTCCAACAGTTGCTTCAGATATTGGAAGGAAAGGACAGGGAAAGACCTCTCAAATAGTCCCGTAAGGAAGGATTATCAGCAACTGAGTGGTTTTTTGCCTACGTTACCCTTTTAAAGTCGCTGCGTAAAGATCAGAGCTGAGCTATGTTAAGGACAAAACAGTGAAACGACTCTGCAACAAATACACACTTAGTGACAAGGCAGTACAGCTCCATTTACAAGTGAAACTGGCTGGAGGGTCCTCCCTCTGTACACCATTTCCATGAAAATGGTTTAAAATTCAATCTTTTGGCAACAAAGCACTGCTCTGTTCCAAGACTTGATGCACGTGAAGGCAAATAAAACACTACACGCTGATTTTTCAGAAGCATTCCTTCAACTACACCCACTGTGCTGTTACAAACTGCCACTTCAGCATTTACACAGAGTTTTATTATAACTGCTCAGTTGTTTCATTTCAAAAGACACCTTTCTCACCCAGCATACCTCTTCAGCAGCACAGAAAAACCTCCTCGTTTTGCCGACTCCTGAAGTCATGGATTCTGGCACAGTGCACTCTTTAAGGGGTGGCCTCAGTGTTAAGATGCCGTCTGGAGCAGGTTTGATGTGGTGGTTGTCATTTCTGCT